ACTCCATCACGCACGCGCTGTTGGGCTGCGCAGTACGTAGACGATCCAGAAACATCTGGGTATTCTTAAGCGTCTAATAGCGTCTAGCGTCTTAAGCGTCGTCATCTTAAGCGCCAGCTAGTTCGTAACCGCCTATATGACCGTCTATGTGCAACTCAAAATTGCATAATTAGCCCCAGTGGTAGAGACGGTGATTGCATGAGCTCGGGTATAGTTTATCTGATCTCCTGTAAGACGTGTGGTGACGAATACATTGGCGAAACGGGTAGACCCCTCTGTGTCCGCATGAAAGAACACCTAGCCGGCAAAAATAGACCAAATACCCCGCTAGGCACGCATAGGACCCAGAGACATAACGGGGACGACTTCGAAGTATGTGTCACGATCCTCGCACGCGAATCAAGAACACAGGCGCGAAAAACTCTCGAGGCACTCTGGATTAATTCCAGAAATCCGAAAATGAACCGCAGGGAAGAATGCCTCATTATCACGCGTGATATAGGGCAGTATATAAAACTGCTTTTCTGATGTGAGGGGCACATTATACTTCCATGTGATTTCTGTGCGGTTGGTCTCTACGTGACGTACTTAGTGGAAACCTCATAGAAAGCGGTGAGTGTGCAAAGCGATTGAATTGAGCGATTCAAAGTGATTGAAATCTTGGTTTGGGGTTTCTTTGTTTGGTTATGGAGGCGTCTGGACGAGTGAGTTGCTATCAACTTGACCTTTCCAGGCTCTGAAGAAGGCGAAATCCGCCGAAACGTCAGCTTAATCGTGAACAAAGAATAGTAACACCTCGCGTTTGCTCAACAAAAATACGAAGTTTATACAGTATCTCCACTAACACTAAGGAGCTACTCGGTAAGAGAAGGAAAATGAAGCTTGATCCTATTGCAACATGCCTAACACGGCTCCACACGATATCATTCTTTAAGAGAGTGAAAATCCTAGACCAAGAGGGAACCTCTCGCACGGTCGTTCTACCCAGGAACTGTGAGCGAAGAAATCTTCGTAACTTCTGTTCAGCATATTTGCTGGGTGTGCCATACAAGATGTTCACGAGGATTGTCCTTTTATGCATATTGGAGACCTTGCATTAGGCACAACCAGTTGAGCAGGCAGGGTTTCGACGGGGATTCTGCCGCGTGGACCACATGGACCACATACAAACCGTATCATGGGTCATAGAGGTCTGTCGAGAGTACTATTTCGCCCTTGTCCTAACCTTTATGGAATACGAAAAAGCGTTTGGTAGCGTCGAAACCAATGCAATCCAATCAGCGTTCGTAGGCAATGGAATGGACTCGTCCTATATGCGAACACCAGCAGACTGTTGTCCGCACTGCAGCAAAATCATGCAGCTTTTTCATTGATCCTTCACCATACTCATAGGAGAAGAGGTTCAAGAAGGCGACACAATATCGCTGTTTACTACCGTGTAGCAGTGGTTAATGTAGTCATCCGAATAGGACGAGAAGGGATACGTAATGAAGAAAAATTCTATCAAATCTTACCTTCGTTGATGGCGTCGTAATCTTTTTGAGGAGTGGAAGTGATGCAAATAGTAGATGCTCAGTGGAGAAAGATTTGAATGCGCATAAATAGGACGAAGACAAGTTTATGAAGAAACTGTGGTGCAAATGGATACAAATTTAATCGGATGGTCCTTTCATTACAAAAGCACCACATCATGTGTACCTTGGACATTCAATGAACACAGAGAACAACATGAAGAAGAAGAGAAGCATCGGCCGCATTAGGGCTCCTCAGAAAAGCCAGCGACCAATTAACGTGTCTAAAACTTTGTGCTCACGTTTTGGATTCAACGGTCTTTTCAGCGCTCTGTTATGCAGAAGAAACGGGGTCTGATACTTAAGCCACGACAAAAAATAATGTGGAATTCTGGCATCCACAATGTCTAGCCGGAAGTGCGAGTCAGATCTTCAAAACCTCTCTCATCTTCGGGACCAGGAGAATATACATCAGTAGCGAAACAGATGAACCGGTCTCGTAATAAGGAGAACAGACGACAGATGGACGAAAAGAGCAATGGAGTGGACTCCAAGAGAATGCAAGCGTCCTCTCGGAAGGCCACTCAAACGATGGGAGGACGTGTTCGTAACTAACGTCAGCTATCTGCTCTTGCAGATGGAAACAGTTTCAGGGTAACAGAATGGGGCTAGCGGGCGTCATTTTGTTCGAAACGGACCACTATGGAGAGCAATTGGGTAGAGAATCCAAGTACACCCCAACCAACAGATGTTCAGTGATCAGATGTAATGTAATTTTTTTAGTTAGTTCCGGGTTAAGGGTGCTTCTATGTGGTAGTCAGCTAACTCCATTCCATGGTAGTAAATTTTATCAAAAGTGGTGTCTCTCAGCTTGATATCGATAGATGAACGCTTTCAGATGTCTGAAAAACGTTGGGTTGTCATTCTAAAGAGATTATTGGAGCAGGAGTTAAAGCGGCATATTTACTTCGTTGTGGTCGTCCGGGGTTTAAAGTACTTCATCTAGGTACAAATCGGGCTCTAATTCCGAATAAATTGGTCTATGAGTAGTTGATGGCAGTCTTCAGTTGTAGCCGTAGGATGCTGCTTAACCTTGCTATCACGTTTGCCGTAACTTATGTCGAAAATACTCTTTGACCCTTCGAAAAACACTTTTGGCATTAAATCATGACTATTTGGGATTGCAATATTTTCAATCTGTATCTTCTCTATTGAAATCTTCTATTGACTTTGTGGCTGATCAGAGTTGATCATTATGAAAGTCGACATAGATGACCCGAACCATTTCAGCCTATCTACCTCGGCTTCATCGCTTTACTTCACAAATTCTTCTCATCAGTTGACTTGACGATCGAATCTGTCAACGAAAATCCATGCCGTTTTCGGTTTATTTGCAACGACCCGACGTTATTTGTGTAATATTTATCAATCCGCTTTGTTTAAACCACATGAGGTGTTGGAAAATTTGTTTTCGCAGCTAAAAACTCTTTTTTGTGCTGAGATATTTGCAAAACTCCGGACCGAAGGTGTCTGCGGTGGCTAAGGAACGCGTTGTTACCCTTTGTGGAGGCTAACGCGTTCACCACCACATTATGCAAGTCGTTTTTTCTTCTTTTTTGTCTCATGTAGACATAGATTAGCGGTGTATTTTAAGGATTGACATAATACAACTGACAGCACTATGAAATTTTCGGTTTCTAATACCAGAAACAAAGCCTCAGACGTCATGAAAAAGATATAACTTATCTCGTGTTTTTTTTAAAATATGTGACTGAGCTTAGCACTCCATTTTTTTAAATAAATCGTTGTATTTAGCCCTCCATAACTTTTCGGTCGCTCTAGCATTTATATGTTTTAGTCAGAGCTACGCTGAGTAGTTTCAATAATGTTCTTGTCTCTAGAGCTGTCCAGAATTACGTAATGGAGAAATCGCGGAATAGTTTCAGAGTCACGGAGGAAATGCTGCATCAGATCGGCATCGACTCGTGCGCTCGTGGACGCAGGTTTTATATGCATTGTACCGAAAACGGCATGAACATTACGAATATGGAGACGTATCTCATGGTTAGTAGCACATAATACTATCTTGAGAGGGCGGATAGCGCAGTGGTAGTAATGCCGATTATTACGATCATTGTGTTGGTTAGATCTCGCTCCAGGCCGACCATACCTCTTATCCGTCGGGATTCAGGAAATGATAGTGAGCTTGTCGTGGAAAAAATCACTCTCTGCAACTCAAGTATGGAACGGTTAAGCCCGGCGATCTCAGGAATCAATGGAGAATCGACTCGACCAGCGTTCAACGGCATTCATGGCTAACGGAAATTCCCCAAGAAGAAACCGAAGCCAGTCGTAAAAATTTCGAAGACTTTCGAAGGTGATGGAAGCGAGGAAACAAATCGAATGTGAGAAGTGCTGCAATACGTTCAATGGACGCGAAAGACGGATCATATAGAAAATAAAAAAATGCTATGTTGGGCTTCTGTGGATGTAGGATTTCTTTTCTTTTTTTCTTTCCATAGAAAAATATTTTGTGAAAATAATTTTAAAAAGTTATAAAAACATTATTTTTTATAAAAAATAGGAAATACGATCATTACATCGCTCCAGCTTATTTTCTGGATTATTTTTTTAATTGTTGATATCTACTAGGAGGAGCACGAGAAATACTAGGAGCACGAGACAGTTCGCTGCCTCTCGTTTAGATAGTGGTTGCTTGTGAATATGATATAAGAATGCCCCTTTAAGTTATCCCAGCATTTCTGGAATAATCGACTCTACCAGCGTTAAGGGAACTATATGAATGTGGAAAGTGTTTGGAATCCGCAAAATGTGTGATGACGGGTTGTATATAAAAATAAAAATTATTTCGAAACCGACTTTCCTTGAACCTCGGTATCACTAATCAATATGTATTCTTTCTTTGATGAGCTTACACGAGGTTGATAATGATGTTTATTTTCGGCCAACGTTTCGACGTCTTCGTCTTCCTCAGAGCCGATGATCCGAGTCGATGGTCCTCGCTTGTTATTCGGCTCGACATGGCAGCTTCGCCGTCGTGTCGAGTCAGGTCTTCTTCAGTGAGCCATCTCCTCGAATGAGGCACCCTTACTCAGTGATGCCTTTTTATACACGATCCTGATGGTGGATATAATGATAATGTCCGGTGATAACAACTTGTTTTTCTTCCGGACATAATCATCGCGCACATCGTGCAGATGATTCATTGATACATCGTGCAGAACATCATTACCAACCTAGTGTAAGCTCATCAAAGAAGGAATACATATAAAAATTATTGTTTCTGACACCATTTTTTGTTCAGTGATAACCTAACATGGAACTAGAAGGTTAAAGGCTGAGAGAAAGGCGAAACATGGTGTGGTGATGCACACGTTAGCGCCCAGAAAGAGTAATAGCGTGCTCGATCAGCACCGCAGATACCTGGAGCCGGGAATTTTGCAAACAGCTCGGCATCATTGTGGTTATATTTCATGTAATACTCTTCTATGAGAAAAAAATTTGTCGTGAGTAAAAGTTAAACATAGTCACAGCGTTGTTAAAACTGCAGTCCCACTAAGAAAAAGCGTGAGTTATTAGATGTTTTGGCCAGCCAATTTTTTATAGAAAGACGTGGATATTGTGGATATAGTGTCATTCATCGACTACTTTATTCGTACTGCGTTCTTTAAAATGACCAGCTCTGAGGAAATGCTGTTGTTTCTAGCATCTATTGAGTCAAATACGGCAGGTCTGTTTAAGGTAAGGACTAAATAACTTCTTTTATCCTGATTATTATTTGAATCTGAAAACAGTGTTTTCTCGCTTCATCTTAGTCCTAAATACTTATTGGTGAACTGAGCATACAAGATGAGAGTTCTTAATCTTTCGTAGAAATCCATCTAATCTCGCGTTATTTGTGTATTATTTAAATCTGGAGGAGTTGAATATGCTTTGTCCAGTTACCAGCCTTTTAGGACTGGTCATGGAGCCTGTGTTTCGTCTTGTCGGCGATCTGTTGCATTCCTGAATGTACATACTCACGGCTGATACCTCTGGTGGCGAAGTGGTTTGCGCAAGGGGATCGGCGAGTTGCTGACGCCATTTACAAGTGGATCAAGCGATGGAGAAGCCGACATGGAGAAAGAAAAGCCATAGAGAAATAGATGTCTTAAATGGCAATTAGGACTTAAGATGTGGAACAAACCGTAAGCAGTAATAGGCCATTTAAAAAATGTACTGCCACATTAGAGAACCTTACGCTAAGGACGAATATTGGAAACAAACTCAAGTCAGCTGCATTAATATAATTTTATTCAGTGGAATAACACACTGCAATAAAGCACCGTTAATCCACAAAGCTCTTCTACGACGACTTTTGTCTTCTTGCCATTTGAGTGCTGCATCGGACTGCGCCACTTCATGGTGGACTCCTATGCGAAAGTAAAAAGATACTCCAACTTGGTTATTCTCTTGTGTTCGAGGATCACATTCACTGTGTTTGTCGAACTGATTAGGAAACCGAGTTGATGTGGTTTGTAAGATTTTCCTATCAGATTCAAATCGCTGCGCTTTGTATATTAAGGGCTGGTCATAAGGCTTTCCGTATTTTGTTGTTTTAAAGAGTATATCTTACTTTTATTGAACAGTGTTACAAAATATATCCGAACCTCCTTGGAATCAATACGCGATGAGTTGCGCGTTCATTCTTACTTGATACTTAACACTTGAATGGCCCGTCCTCACTGGTTGTGCGGGCCCCAGACATAATCACCATTTTTCGGAGATTTGCTGGTTAAGCCATTATGGTTCCCTGGAGTACCGAGATCAGCCTGGCCAAAGTCTGCCCCAGGTCTTCACCACCATAAGCAGTCGCAGTCCTTGTGGATCACAGGGAGATGCGACCATGCGACTTTGATACCAGGACGGTGGTGGATCGTGGTATTGGTTCACTCTTAGCTAGGTTTCCTGATGGAAACGCGTTCAATCTAGTTGGAAACATCTTGTTTTTCAGCGGAACTCAGGTAATTCACGCTATTCTGAGTTATATTGAGAATTACTTAGGTAACTCAATGGCCCATACGGTAGCTTATTGATAACGGATGGGAGTCTTTCTATTTGGAATTCAAGGATAATCGCTCCAGGATAATTCAGGGATATTATCAGAGGCAGCCGTTGGTCTTCATGGATCGACAGCATGTGCAGAAATTACGATAAAGTTTCTTACAGGTCAATGCTAAACCCTTATTCAGGTATACTCTTATATGGGATTTTAGAGATCTACATGTTGAACTCCTAAGCTAGAATGACCATGCTGAAATGATAACCCTATTTGCTGTACATTTCAGTTCGATACCAAAGGACACTCTACAACGATCTAAGATTAGACCGCTGACGGGGCTCACGAAAAGGTTTTTTTCGAACTCGAATTGAAGATTGTCCTCGAGCTCGAAGTCTTGCAACGTTTTTAAACCAAATGGTAACGCCGTATTGTTTTGCTCGTTTTAGGAAATGTGCTGCCATACTCTCCAATAAGGAGTTTTTTGTTTGCGCAGTGGTAGAGGTACCGTTCAATACGCGCAACTTGCTGAATGGACTCTGTACTGGGGCAACCAATATTATCGTCCAAGTCACCAAATTAGTAACGTGCTTTTGCGTAAAAACTTCGTTCTAATCCACAAAGTAAGTGACAGTCCTTTGCTGAAGACGTCGGAATACTGGTAGTGAGCTGTCCCCAAATTCCATGAAAGGTCAATTCGACAGCCATTCAACGAGTTCCATGAAGATGATAAAATTCTTCATGGATAATAGATGTGAACCTTATGGAAGGACGGCTTAGAACCGAAGAGCTCGTTGAGTTCGGTAGTGTAAATTTATAACTTGAGCATGTCGTTGCCTAAATTATGGTAATTTGTTGTAGTCGTAAATTCCACTCCTCAAAAAATAATCTTTACACTGTCAATGTGGAAGATTAAATCTTATGAAGATATGAGGATTTCGACATTTGAAGTAGTTAAAACAAGTGGTCAGTCCTTTTCATTATCGATGGGCGAAAATATTCTAATCGATTTTCCCGAGGTTTTAAGACATGAACCACTAATGGCAATTTTCTTTAGATTATTGTTTCATGTGGGTCCGAATGAGGAATGAAATATGAAACTTCGATTACTTGGAGCAGTAGGTCACATACAGCGATTTGGCGTACTAATTTGAGAGGTGCTTTCAATAGTAGTCAGAAGACAAAACAGAACCGGCTGTTCCATCGACTCGGCAAGGCATGTATCATAGTGCGAAGAAGAAAAAAATGCTTAAAGGATTTCAAAATGGTTGATTGGTCTTTATCCCGTGTTGCTATCGAGTTGATAGAGTTGATGATAACTTAGAGTCAAAGCGTAATTCTCGAAAGTTGAACTGCTAAAGTGGACACCTGTACTGAAAGTCTACAGAAATTTGTCACAAATTCACTATATGGGTGTTTTGGCGCCATTGACTTCTTCGTAGCCGTTTCTATTCGACTGAGGTTCTCACGAAACTAGGTCACCGTGATTTGCGAGTACTTCGCGCAATCGACGGAACGTAAAAACGGCGAATAAAGAAATGGCATAAGAAACACTGACGAGATTTCGAAATGAATAGGTTATGAGTTGTGAGCTTGCTGTTGTTATTGGGATTATTGAAACACCACGTCGCCCTCGCCCCTGGATTGCATACCATAACACTCTAGATACAATGTTTAACGTTTTGTTTTCTGCCTTCTATAATTTTCATGGCAGGTTACTAAGTAAGCGAAATACAACCACAACG